TTTACTCGAACCTCCCTTGAAGAAACCCTCTCTATAAGAAACACTTTGGCTATGCATCTGCCCGTTTCTTATGGAGAGGTTGCACTGTATTACTAAAATTAAAAAGTTCAATATCAATTCTGAATTTAGTTATCAGTAATATTTAATAAATACGCTTGTAATAGTCAAAAATTGAAAATATTATTACAATACTGTGAATAGTACACTGAGGCAATATTGATGCAATAAATGTAATTAATGTAATGTAAACACACTGTATAAACAAAATGAACATTATTTGTGATGCTAAGTTTTATATTGTTAAATACTAATCTATTTTGCCAAGACATTGATAAAATGTTTGTCTAACATGTACTGTAAATGAAAATAAACATAATGCAAATAATATAAATATTACCAGGATTATATGGATATTTCTCAGTAACTGCCAGTAGTGGTGGAAAATATCGCTTTAATTCTGTCTTTAATTTATTAAAGTTAATGTTTGGAGGAATGCATTCATTCTCGTATGCAATCATCACTTTGACTACCGAACTGACACCAGAGGCGGCCTCCGAGTGACCCATATTGCTTTTCAACGCCCCCACAGGCAATAGTTCAGTCCGGCCTTCACAGTACGAGTTGTAAATCGCTTTGATTTCTTGCAAATCACCAACCTTAATTATAATATTTAAACATATATTAATACCTGATGTATAATGTATATAGTAAAATTAATACTTTAATATTCAGTTAATTTTTTATTTACCTTGGTTCCCGTTGCATGAGCCTCAAAGTATGTCAGACTCGGAGGGTCAATTGCAGCTAACTTACAACTCTGTCTCATTAGTTGCTCCTGTGTGTCGGCCGATGGATAAAACATTCCAGCCTTTTTCCGCCCGTCAACATTCACTCGTGCGGACACGACATGTGAGTACACACGGCGGGCGTCTTGACGGCGCTGTAGAAACAGACAGCAAACGGCCTCTGATTTGACATAACCGTCGGCCGACTCGTCCAACACTGCGGACACTCCGCGCGGCGAACAGATTCCGGCCTCTACTTGAATCTCAGTTAAAAACGGCTGAAACACCATATAAGTGCCGCAGACTATCGCTGCATCCGTATTGCCTATTTGACAATTTGCCCAAATCTTATATTTAATTTACATAATTTAAAAACATGTGCTACCTAACCTAGCATCAAGTCATTATAGGCTAATGTCATTGCTGATAAACTGGATGAACAAGCGGTGTCCACCATAAGTGAAGGTCCTTTAAAGTCGTTGGCAAATGATATACGATTTGCGAATAAATGTTGTGAACTATGCAATATTTGAAATAGGGCTATATCAATCGATCCGTCCACATCCGATTGTGGATAATCTGGGTATCCTTCACCTGCATTAGTGTGTGTAGCTCCCACATAGACACCTGTGTTTGACCCACGTAGTGATTGCGGGTTAACACCTGTATGTTGTAATTATATTAATATATGATATACGACTTATATTTAATATTTATATATTTTAAATTACCTTATGACTTTTAATAAGAAGACTTTTAATACGACTGCAAATAGTATATATATCACGTATAGCATAGATTTGCTATATAGCATATAATAGATGTATACATACTACTATGTTTTGAATGCAGTCTTATTCCAAGTGTTCTTATTGAAAATCCTGAGGTTATAACTGCCCGAAATAACACCCATATCCTACCATAAAGTTGGAAGATACTCGTTTTTGTGTAAAATTTATGAATATGTATGCTATAAGTCATATGAATTTAAAGCATTGAAAACCAGCTTGGCAATTTATTTATTCAAAAATTTCATTCCAACAACAAAATATCTTTAATTGAAATGTTAAAAATATAAAGTTTTTTTAAATGTTTTTATTACAAAATTCAATATTTTAATTTATAAGATATTACAAGTAAAGCAGAGATAATTTGGGAGGTTCCAAATAAAATCGGTTAATAAAATGTCCGGGAATAACATCCAGTTAGTTTTAGTGTTTATAATAAAATATTATTAAATCATTTTTATTTTCTCGAATATTCCCAATTTAGGAATATTTGGAAAATAATCCCGATTTTGACATATTTTATATACAAATCTCGAAATCTTATGCAAATACACTTTTATTTAAAAAAAATCTAAAATATTATATATAAATACACAAAATTTTGTGATAAAATGTTTAACCAAATATGCACTAACAAGTGAGTTTAACTATGTTGCGCGATTTTTTTAAAATAATTTTTTAAAAGAATAAAACTTATATTTCTATGTTATTTTATATATTCTTTACTTTGATTGTGTTTTACATGATTTAAATCAATAAACAAGGTTCACACAGCGATGCTATACGTTAACCACAATTCGGGAAATGCATCAAAGATTTTAAATTTTTCAATGCTATTGTTGAATTATTTTTACTATTGTTATTTTGAAATTTTAAATATTTTTGACAACAATTTATTTGAAGTATTATTCTACAAACTGAGTCCACAAACTAATCATTGCCATAGACTTAGCATTGCCCATGTTATTTCTATGTCATAGACTTAACATTGTCCATAGGATTAGCATTGCCATAGACTTAGCATTACTCATGTTAAAGTATAGCCATAGACTTAGCATTACCCATGTTAAAGTATAACCATAGACTTAGCATTACCCATGTTATCCCTATGTCATA